CCCTAGCTTTGTCTGTTCTTTTGTTTCTTTATAGTTTACATATGGGTGAAATCATCTGGAACATACCTTCCTCTTTTCTCCTCTGACTTACTTCTTTTCAAGCTTAGAAGCTGACTTCTGCTGTAATAAACCTTAGTGAGGCTAAAGGTTTCACCTCTCTCATTACCAACTCCAAACTGTCCTCATCACTTTTAAGTTATTTAAAGACATAAACACATTGCACAAAATAGGAACAAAACTTAACAGAGTAAGTTTGAAAAGTAAATTGTCTATTTGTAAAAGTATGACTGGGGGTTGGAGGAGTTGGGGAGATGTTAGCCAAAGGATACAAACTTGCAATTATAAGATGAATAATTTCCGGAGCTCTGATGTATAGCACTGTGATTAGTTTTGTGTGTGCATGTGTTTGTGTACGTGTGTATGCGTGTGCAATTATAGTTAACACTGTATTATTATACTTCACAGTTGCTGTAAGACTAGACCTCAAATGTCCTCACTATAGAAAAGAAAGTAAGTTATGTAAGGTGATGGAGGAGTTAGCTAATGAAAAATATGTTGCAAAATAGAAATATATCAAATCAACATGTATGTATACCTGAAAGTTACACAATTTCATATGACAATATATTGCAATGAAAATAAAGCTTGAGCAAGTTAAAAAAAAAACAAACCCAAAATCAAAATACAAGACCAGAAGCTATTTAAGAGCATTAATTTACTTAATTTTGATATATTATTCAATTTGTGAAATGTTTTAGAAAGCCAACTAGAATTAAAAAAAAAAAAAAGATTTATTTATTTATTTATGCATACAAGACCTGGGGTACAGGCCAGAGAGGCAGGGGGTGAGAGGATTCACCAGAGACAGAGTGGGAAGCAGAACAGGTAGAGCTACTGAAACACACTGCTGTGGGGAGCAGTGGGTGAGATAAGAGAGGTCTGTTGCACCATTTGGTCACATCCCTGCCTGGGGATTAAATTTGTGCTGTAGTGGCTGCTGATAGCTTCATAGCATAGGGATAAACCCTTTGCACCATCAGGGAGGCCCAGTGTAAAAGATTTTTAATAAAATTGATTTGAAGAAAGAGGAGGTGGAAAGGGGGAAGGAAGATGGATTTCAATTTCAGCACTCTCTGAAATTTACCCATCCTATCATGGACAAGTCTAGCCAAGCAGGTTTGGCCTGAAGTGGGACCACCAAGGCCCAAAAGCTTGTCACAAACCTAAGATACCTCCTGGTAGGAAGCACAAAAGAGGGGTGAGGCAGATCCCAGAGAACTAGAACAGAAGGAGAGACTCAAAATTCAAAGTGTACCACATCATCCAACATGATGTCAAAATAGCAGCTGCCAGGTCTGTCAAGGACTAGAAGCAGCCTCCCACTGTCTCTCACCTATGTCTTTTCCAGGTACCTTTTCTTGTGTGTTTACCAGAGCAGGGAAGGAAAACAATAGAAACAAATAAGAGTGTAATTGCTAATGGGATTAAATGTTAAAAAGGAGTGAAAGAGACAAATATGAACATCTGGACTTATATGTAGACACAGCCTCCTGGAGATATACATGAGAGGGAGTTATCCACACAGAGGGTGGGGAGAACTTTGCAGGCTGACAGGAAACTCTGAGGAACCATGAGTAATGATCTTTTGATGACTCAGCGAGCTGCAGCATTTGGTAAAGTTGTTGGTAGTAGAAGTGCAAAAACAAAACATAACCATGGATAAAAACCCAACTTTGCCTCTGCTAGCCATGACTGTAACCTGTAGGATCTAAGGATCATTAAGATACAAGGCTCACAAAGGGCCTTGAGCAAATCTCCAGCATTCCCAGGCTGAGTTTCTTTGCTGACAGAAGAATCAACAAGATCCAGCAAAATCAGCACCTTCCTGGTGGTGCAGGGGTTCAGTCCCAGTCTCTCACGCTATCACCAGCTGCTGCTATATAAGTTCCACCCCTGTCAGGGAGCTGACCCACATGGTGCAGCAACCTCTCCTGTCTGGCCCTCTGCTTCCCTCAGGAGTGGATTTCAGTCAATCCATCTTTTGTGTTCACTCTCTGGTGAATCCTTTCACCCCCGCATCTTTGGCGAGATAGGAGAGGTCTGCTGTGCCTTGTGGGTTCGCTCCCAGGTGAGGGATCAAACCAGGCAGCAGTGGCTAGCAATATCTTGATAGCTCTGCAACTTTAACCCATGTGCCACCAAGGAAACCCCGATTACCAATATTCCTAGACAGTCTCACATCACACAGTATCTTCTCATCTCTAATAGAAGTCTCTAGTTGTCACCCTTTTTGCAAGTCCTTAGATAATTCCTCCAAACAATGTGTTTTCTAGGTGCTATTTCCTCTTTCCAGGATGTAACCCCTCCCCTTTGCTGGGCTAATTTACAAATGCATCTGATTTCAACTCAATCATCTTTTCCTCATGAACACTGACAACGAATCCTTGGTCACATTCTTCTGTTCTATGCACTCAGAAATCATGTTCGTTTATCTACATGTATAACAACAAAGTAATTTGTTTTTACTTAATGCCTATCTTTACTACTGGACAGATGTTTCTTAAAATCCTATATAACACAGGGCTGTATTTGCATGATGAGACGAGGACTGCCTGTGCACCGCATCTGGCATATAAATTTTAACCTGTGTTGAATCAGTAAAGTTATCTTTGTGTCCCTGATGTTAGCAAATATAATCCAGTTTAAAGTTTGGAGACAGCAATGAGAAAAGAAATCTAGTAGCCATTCTTTATGTCGGAATTTCCATCTTTGACCATTTTGCATATTCATTCACCCATTACTTAATGGGGTGAAGGTGGAGTGCTTGATTAATGCTCCTGTTTTTAAATAAAAACTTAAAATATGACTGTTTTAGGACTCCCTCGTGGCGCAGTGGTAAACGTAGGACTGGGAAGCTAAAGCCACTTCAGCACGAACTCGATCCCCTCCCCGGAGGTGACCCACATGGCCCGGCAGACCTCTCCTGTCTTGCCTGCTGCTCGCCTCAGCAGTATAGTCAGTCAGCATGTTCTTCTCCTCGCAGTCTCTGGTGAAGCCTCTCACCGCTCCTGCACCTCTGACCTGTACCCCAATTCTGTATGGATAAATAAATCTTTTTTTTTTTTTTTAAGATTTATTTATTTATTCATACAGAACTGGGGTACAGGCCAGAGGCTCAGGGGCGGTGAGAGGCTTCACCAGAGACAGAGTGGGGAGCAGAACAGGCAGATCGACGAAGTACACTGCTGAGGGGAGCAGCGGGCGGGTCAGGAGAGGTCTGGCTCGCCATGTGGTCTCCTCCGGGGCAGGCGGCAGGCGGGAATCGAACTCATACGGAAGTGGCTTCAGACTCTCAGTGCTGTGCTTTAACCCGCTGCGCCACCAAGGAGGGCCTAAATAAATCTTTTAAAAAATATGACTGATTTAAAAACAGCAAGATTAAAAAATATTAAAATTTAAATCAAAGAAGTTTGCTTCATTTCACAAGATTGCTTTTTTAATGTTATTTTAAAAGGGTGATGAGGGTTTTGTTTCAGTAGATTTTGCAAGTTTGAGAGTGGGACAAGTCAGGGTTACCACTGCCATCTACACAGATGCATACCCCCCTCTGGTTTCAGATCCACAATAAGAAGAGTAAAAACACGTTCTCTTTATTTGTAACATGTAAATACTGAAGTTCTGTCATTTAACATAGGATAAAAAATAAGTGCCGTTACATCTGTCACAACAGGATGCTGGTTTCTTCCACAGCACTGTTTCTGGCCTGAGTGTGGCTGGTCCCCGGCATCGTGTGCATTTGTTTCCAGAAATTCCCTTTTCCGTGGGATGATTGTCTTCAATCATGTTTATCAGGCTCCAGTTCTAACAGTCCATATTTGATTCATCCTGTACACATTCTCCATCCTGTCTTGCTCCAACTTTCGGACTGATTTTCTGTTGTCATTCTTTATGGTCCCCTCCTCCAGTCATATTTACAATTAAGGATTTATGTGTGGCACTGCAACTCAATTGTGAGCGCACACAAGCCTTGTAATCCTCACTGTGCTGAAATACTTTCTGGCCTGTACCCCAATTCAGCTTTTGAGAAACAAGTATTTTGAGAAACAAGTATTTTGAGAAACAGAAAGACCATTTTTAAAGCAAACATAACGTCGTGGGCTGATAAAAAACAAATTGTGTGTATTGGCATAATAAAATAGATCTTCAGAGACTAAGAAGAAACAAGTAATATTAAAAAAACAGACAAGCAAACCAGCAAACACATACACATATACTAATATGTAACAGACTGACAAATTGAAATTCCATCAAAAAAGAAGTTCAGGGAGGGTTTTCCTTTCAAATAAGGAAAAAAACCCCTAAAAGGTCTTATTTTATACACATGGCTTTCTCCTCTTATTTTTTGTTTTTTCATTTAAAGTTTATACGTTTTTGGAAAATGAGAAGAGGGAGTATCTGTTCCAGTGAGATGTTATCAACAATTGCTTTTAATACTCCAAAGTCAGTAAGTTAAAGACAAAAATACTTTTTCACAATGACACATGTGGCACTGTATTTCTTTCAGTGGGTATATTCAGTTCACAATACCCAAAATACTATCCCTTTACAAATTCATGGAATTAGCTTTACTTCTTACTCACAGCCTTTCCTCGTATTTTCCCCAAGATTCTGCTCAGCGCTTGGATAGCATTTGCCCTGACTTGTTGCCTATGAATTTCCCTCAGCTACAGAAAGTTGTTCATTTTAAATTCTCTAACCCAAAGAAAGCTCCATGGTTGCCTTCTCATGTCGGGGTAGGAAGTGAAAGCAGGGAGGTGTTGCGAGAACAGCAGTCAAGATGTAAGAACCTTGTTCAGTTCCATCTATACTATTTTCCTTAGGACATTAAACATGGAACTGTTTTTTTCTTTTAGTATTTATTTATGCATACAAGAACTAGGGTGTAGGCCAGCGGTGCAAGGGGTGGGAGGTGGGGAGAGGATTCCTGAGACAGAGTGGGGAACAGAACGGGCAGATGTACTGAAACACTGTTGAGGAGAGGTCCGCTGCATCATGTGGGTTAGCTCCCTGGCAGGTAGGGGTGAGTGTGGGGAGTGGAACATCTGCTGCAGTGGCTGCGTGTAGCTTGGTAGTGCTGTCTTTGACTCCTGTGCCACCAGGGAGGCCCCGGAACTGCTTTTTTTCTAATTCCACATTTAGTTTCTAGAATTCACTGAAAATTCAAAAACAAGAGAATATTTGTAGAAAGTGTAGGCTGTTTTTTTTTTTTTTTTGGATAATGTATGACCTATCAGATTTCTCCTAGAAAAATAGTACTTTTAGAGTTGGACTTTGTCTTAAGATCATCTTCTTTACAATTACTTAGCTTTTTATATATGACAACTATTTCTATAATGAAGTTAAGCAGGAAGTTACACTAACCCAACTAAATTAGGAGTCCTAGAGTTAAATTCTGACTTGAACACTATGTCTGAAATGGTAACAGAGCTCACACTGGGGCTGATCTAGGAGCAAGAGGTGCCCTTCACACAGAGGCAGATGCATACTGAAGCCACAAAACAGCTGTAGTATGTAATTTGAATTCCTTTGTCATTATAGAACTTCATTCAGTATAACCAAACCATCCTCTGTATTTCATACAATCATCTTTGCAGAAAAGATGAGTGATAATTAAATTTTGAGAGAAAAAGGGTGTTCAAAAAGAGAAAGTCATATTTACGAGTAACATTTCTTTTGTATTACTTCTTGCACACCACCATGAATTTTGCTTTATCATTTGTTTTCCTTCTTTGAAAATAACTTATACAGCATTATTTTGTCTTCTTGGGGCGACTCTCTTTTCTCCACAAAAACTCAATTAAGGACGTTGTACCAGCTTACTCTTGTTTCCTTCCTGTTCACCAAGCTTAAAATGAGTATAGGCAAGGATACCAAATAATGTACATAACATGCCAAGCCCTTGATTAACGGACAAAGGATCCTTAAATAAAACATATCCTCCAAATAAGGTGATGCAGAACTTGAAGTGTCCAAACATGTTGTAGCTGAAGTTTCTGGCTAAGGATTAAAAGGCAGTGTTACTGTGAGTACACACACACTCACATAGGCAAAGCAAAAGCCTCTTTTGGCTACAAATAGCAGGAAACACAGTGAACAGCAGCACCCCACCATTTTCTGCCCCCTCCAAAAGGCCCAGTGAGGTGCAAGGCTAACTTGAGTCTCTTCAAGTTGGGTTTAGTAATTAGGCAGTGATAGCAGACTACCTCAACTATGCCTGTTGACCTCTCCAAAGTAAAAGAATAATAGGTTGAGAAATTCAGAGCAAGGTATAGACAAGATCTTCTGTATAACAATCTGTGATGCTTTATAGTGCGATTTCTAATAAACTTTCCATGGCAAACGAGGCCAGAGGTGTAAGATGCCAGAGAGCTGACTCCAGGTGAATACACCCAGAAGGTCAAGTTTAGGAGGCAAAGGGAATGCACTGAGCCCAACCACCAGCTACACGCCGACACTACGTTAGGTCCGTGTGCTGTGGCCGCTCTTGTCACATCACATTTCCCATCACTGCAGTTTCCCGCTTCCCATTCTACAGCCATAGAGGCACAGGGAATGTAAGTGACCTGAAGATCAGAGTAAGCAGCAGAGCTGGAGTGCAAGCACAGTTTGACCTACTGCGCTCTAAAGTTTGTGTTTACGTACACAAACAGGCTAGTATTCTGCTAGTTTCCAAACCATTTGTTCATTTAAAAAACACACTAAACACATGCTCTATTTCTTTAAAAATTCTCTTTGTCATATTTTAAATGATTTTCCCATATATGTATTTGTATTTTATCATTTGTCAAATGTTTGCTGAAAGAGGAGTTGTGTCCCCAACAATCTGAGAACCAGTTTCCCCTGTCTCAGTCTCGTGCATAAAATGCAACAATATAATAGCTACCTCAGGGTGACTGTGAGGATGCAGTATAAGTTGATATGTGCCAAGTTTCTGGCAGACAGTAAGCACCACATATATTATCTGTACTCATAGGCACCAATGGCGGTACTTACACTTAATAGGCATCTGCCAGTGCTTGACACATATTCTCTCAAACACAATGATCCACACTGTAGACATGATCTCTCCTATTTCAGAAGAAGTGAGAGGTGACCTGGGTATCTCTGACTTCAAAGCCCAGGCTCTTTCCTCTTCTCTGAAAATAATTTACACATGACATTGTTTTATTTTCTTGGGGCAACTTTCCTTTCTCCACATAAACTCAATTAAGGACGTTGTACCAGTTTACTGCTAGTTCCTGACTGCAACTGAGCAGCTGGAAGGTGAGCAGAGGCCAGGCTAGGTGCCTGGGCTACTATGCTGTTGAGGTTCAAGGATCACAGGGCTATTAGGTGGCAAAGTTGGCGTGCAAATATATATGGGACTGACCCAACAGAGGCGATTTCCTGAAAGGCAGAGGATCTTCCCAGGCTGTTAATTATAATCACCATAAATATGCTTTATGTTCAATTATGAGCTATTTTCAAGTGCAGCAGCTCTAATACTTTGGTATTTCTTTACCCCTTAGCCTTTCCTGTAGGTCAATCATGATCCATTAGTGATACTGCCATAGAGGGATGGAAGGGAATTTAAAGAAATCCTTTTACAAATTGAAAAAACTAAAAAGATTTCTTCTGTAAATTAAAAAGATAAAAATTGCAATTCCTCTCTTAATTCTCCCTCCTGCTCCAGCCAGGCTTTCTCTCAGGCATTCAGAAAGCCCTGGTCAGAATCACAAGCACCTCCTCACCTGCTTTCTACAGCACTGTGCTCCTTCCCCAGACTTCGACTTGCTCCCTCTCTCATCTCGCTGAACACTGAAGGAACACAGGATTCAACCTGGGGGATCTTTCCCTCTACTTGTTTTCCTGATAGTCTCCACCAGTCTCACCCCAATGACTGGAGTGTCTCCAGCTGACAACTCGACCCTGAAGTTGTTTACCAGGACTTGTCTTGATCTTCCTCCCCACTCCAAGTTATCCCAGCTGCTGCCATCTAGTCCATGATGCTCAATCCTTGACTCAACCTCGCTTCCTCTTATTCTTCACAAACAGTTTATCAGTAAAACCTGATGGCTCTGCTTGAAAATATGTACAGAATCCAACCACTTCCCATCATCTCCATTGCTACCATTTTGGTACTAAACCACCGTTATTTCTAAGTCAGAATGTTTATGGGGCTCCCAGTTTCCCTTCACCCTTTGCCTCTTTCAGCCAGTGATTCTTAACCAGGTGTTACTGTGTCATCATTAGAGGGGGCACCACTGGTATTTAGTGGGTAGACACCAGGAATGCTGTTAAACATCCTACCATGTACAGGACAAGCCTGAGCAACAAAAATATTGTCCAGCCTGAAAGGTAATTAGCACTGAGGATGAGAAGCCTTGTTTTAATCTACTGTCAACACAACTACTCAGAGTATGAAACGTAAGTAAAATGATGTCATTTCTCCACTCAAAACTCTAGTGGCTTCTCAACCTGCCCAGAGTAATAGTCCTTATGTAAAATCTACACTCTGTTTGCTTCCGCTACCTCCCATGGTCCTAATATAGTCTACCCTCTGCTCCCCCCGCTCCTTTCACACAGGTTTCCTTGCTGCTCCTCAGGCCTCTCACCTGTTCCCTCTGCCTGGAAGGCTCTTCATCTCCATCTGCATGGAGTGAACTCATTTCCTTCCAGTTTTTACTCAGATGGCATCTTCTTGTTGAGTCCTTCCTGAACACCCTACCTAAAATTTCAACCCCAGTGTATCACATCCTCTCCTCTATTTATTCTCCTTGGAACTTAATCCCTAACACTGTATAGGACTATTTTAGATTTTTCCTGTTTACGGCCAGTCTTCCTCCCCAGAAAGTTAGCTTGTGAGAGCAAAGCTTTTGTCTCTTTGGTTCACAGCCATATCCCCATTGTGTGATATATGATGCCTAGCACATAATATTTCTTAGGTCAGTGAATGGCTTGTAGTGGGTAGTCAATAAGTACTTGTGGAGTGAAGGAGTGTTCTCTATCAGGGACTATCTGATTCGGCAGTACAGTGCACAATACTGGGAAAAGACTGCAAAGGTTCAAATTGGGAAACCACACCTCTCAGCTGTGTGGGTGAACCCCTGCACCTTCATTTGCTTTTCTTTAAAATACAATTCCAGAATTTACCACTGAAAAATAAACAGTGTGATACACACAAAGTATTTTAAATAGTGCCTGGTCCGAAAGAAACATTTACTAAATGTTGGTTTTGAAAAACAACTGTGATCACTTGTTACTTATTGGGAGATGGCAAATATGCTGCTTGTTTACCTTGTGGACTCGGTGTACTCTAAACTATTTCTTTACTAAACTCTCTTTGATTTAGGCAAACTCCAGTATTTCTTTGCATTTGCTTCAGAGTGAAATGTAAAAGAAACAGAATGACATGAAGAATGTTAAAAATGAACAGTTAATTTTGATTCAGACTTTAGGGTATGACTTCATTTAATTTGGAGTAATACTGAAAAAAAGGGACACCCATATCCAAGTAAATACAAAAACATACTCTCAAGTCAGAGGTCAGTAATCTGACATTATCTTTTCTTATCTGAGTTGATCACACCTCTATTTTATTACTACAGATAGTGACAATTGTAGTAATAAAACCAAGCATCCATCCCATTATTCACTGAACAAACATTTATTTAACACTCTGCAAGAAATGGAGCTCTGTGCTCATTTTAGTAAGGGAAGAGAACACTATTAAGAAATTTCGAAACAGTCATGATACAGAGAACTAACTCATTTCCTCATTTTATGTTTCTTTAACCTCTACAGATGCCAGTAGTAAGACAGTCAAGGTTAAAAATAACTCTACTCAGTTTTGTCATGTTAAGAGTAAGTGCAAAACTCAAATAAGGAAATGACTCTGACAGAGTGCAGGCAAATAAAAAGCCTATGCAGTTGGAACTTGTTAGGAAAAGGATACGTGACTGGTGAAGTATTCCCAATGATCCAATAAATTGATAAGTTCACCATGAAAGCTATTACTCCAGACAGCAGCACCATAAGCTGCAAATAAACAACAAGAAAATCATTAAAGCAAAGCAGCTGCCAACATTAAAATCATAAAGTAAAAATACATTTCACTGACATTTCTAAAAACTCAGGTAACAACCATTAAGAATACGACTTTAGAAAAGAGAAAAACAACTTGGGAGAGAGTAAAAACAGGGTGAAGAAAAGAGCGACTAATACAGAACAATGGGTTTACAGCTTGATAAACACTGCATGTTAAAGTTACAGTAAGCTGAAGGCACTTACGCTAATTACTGAGCACCATAACTCAGCCTGGGCCTTTTAAGATGAGCTCAGAAAACTTGTATTAGCCTACAGCTGTGCAAAATCTGCTAACAGGAAGCCTATTTTACAACAATAGGCTTAGTATCTCACACAGTCTATTGAACACTGTAGGGAAAGTGACAACACATTTACAGCGTTTTGGTTGTTACCCTGAGAGAACACCCTACCACATACTACTAGCCTGGAAAAAGGCATAATCAAATTCCAAGTGTGGTTTCTATTACATATACATTGCTTTTGTACCACTGTAAAATTGAGCTGTCATAAATTGGGGGATGATCTGTATTCAGAAATGTTTCTTGGCTTACAAATCCCAATGCAAAATTATTTAACATATCCTGCCTCTGAATGCAAATGTCCAGTTCATTTTTCTTATCTATCTGAACAAAAACCATTTTGTAACAATTTTTTATTATAAAAATGATATATAATCATACAAAAAAAAGAAAATAAGAAATTCCAGGCATTCACCACTATTAACACCTTGGCATACATTCATCTGGATCTTTTTCCTATTGAACTGCTCATAGTGATGTTTATTTAAATAAAACAATAAACATTCATTAATTATTTACAAAGTCAGGCCAGACGTTGTGAGGTTCTTTCTCAAAGAGCTTAGAAACCATGTGAGGATATAATAAAAATTATAATAATCCCAGCTTACACATACAGAGTATTGGTGGCAAGGATTGTTCTAAAGTTATATATATATATATATATATATATATATATATATGAGCTCATTTAACCTCCCAAACACCTATGAGGTAGTAAAATGTTTTCCCTTTTTGCAGATGAGAAAAAAAGAGCCCAGAGAGACAAGATAGTCATTTATATGAGCTCACCTAGTAAGAGGCAGGACTGAGCTTTGAGCCCTGGCAGTCTGGTTCTGGAATCCCTGCAATAACCCTCTCTGTGCGGCTGCTTCCCCAGAGGTAAGCCTGTTGCACAGGACTTACAAGTTGGGCAATAAGAGAAAAACACCCCTGGGCAAACCAAAATAGGTTGTATGACTTCTAGGCAGATTTAATTTGGGGCTAGGAAAGCAAGAAATGTGTTTGGATCTCAAATGTATATATAGATTAAAGAAGGGAGCCTGGGTACAATTCTAAATTAAGGGGAAGTACGAGTCAGAGCATGGAGACGTGAGAGCACTCGATGTCTGAGTAAAACAGTAAATAAATCAACTAGCCTGTTCAAACATATCCCACAGTTTTATTTAAAATGCTATAAAATCACTTCCTATCTCCCAAAACAAGAGAATTTAGATTAAATGTTAGTTATGATTAAGAAGTTTAAATTCCAAAGAAAATATGTGATATTTGGAGATATTTTTTCTGTCCCACGTGGGTATTTCAGTTTTTAGACCAGTGTGGTCACAGAGGATTAAGGCAGTTAGACTTGTGTCCTACTTGGGTTGAAAGAGTGATACTTTACTGCTTTTATAATGGTGATATGCATTAGGCGTTACATTATGAGACACTTCACCCTTAAGTATTTTAAAAAGAATTTTTAGAGTTTTATCATAACTTTTACTAGAGGCACAGAAAGTCACATATGGAGTTCTTGATGACTTAGACATCACTAGAAACAATTACAAGCTCTACGTTGAGGTAATGGTGCCCTCTAGGGACATTAAGACAGAAGGTGACTGCCCCTTATTAATCACCTCATGGCTAGGTTTAGTTTCTTCACCTTTTTTTAATGGCCTTTCTTCTGCTTGCTTTTTTCAAATCTACCAGAGGGCCAAAGGCAAATAATGTCTCCCTTTCTAGCTTATGGTGTTTAAGCTGTGATGGCTTGAAGGCCAGGTAACTAAGATGATTAGAACTTCTGTAATATTAAGAGGAAATATCTGAGAAAGGATATTTCTATCAGTGATTTCTACCTTGGAAAAAAGCAAGGGAGAAAAAAGGGAAGGACATGAATTTGAAACAATTGCCAACCTGCTCACAGGCAACACAGTGTAGAAGTTAAAAATATGGACTTTGGAGCAGAATGTGTGAGCTCAGATTTTGGCTCTGCTCATCAGCTGTGGGGTCCCCAGTCAGTTATTAAACTCCCCCTCAGGGACAAAAACAGTAATCATGTAATAAAGTTGTTATGAGGATCACACAAACTAGTATTTGCAAAGTGCTAGGACAGTGCGGAATGGAGTTAATGGTTATGTAAATTTGTTAGTTTATACCACCAACGCATAGACATTCCCATGAACTGTTCGAAAGATTGAAGTTTTGAAAGCAAAATTCCTTTCCTAGGTAAGGGGAATACACATATGCATATATAAAACTTAATATGTCCCAAAGTACATCTCTGTTAGCATACTCCTGTATGCTAAGCCATATGTGTTCCCGAGGACACATATACAAGGATGAGGACTGCAACAGTATTCATAGTGGCTAAGAAATGGAACTATTACACAATGAGAAGAATAATTTGGAGAGATTTCATGAGATGCTAAAAAAAGCAAGATACTGAAAGTCATATGTGATCCGATTCCACTTTTATCAAAGAAACAGTAATTTATAAATATGTACATATATGTGTATTGTGTGTTTATGTGGGCCTGGTAGAACAGAGAACTAGTGACATATGAAAGTAAAAGGTGTAGCATATTAACTAACATAACTTACATCAAGGGGTGAAGATAGGGCCATTGGATGGTGAAGTGTGTATAGATAAGGAAGCATGAGGAAAAGAAACCTATGATAAAAACAGTATATAGATGATAAATCCTTGTATATAAAATCACACACACGTGTGGTCTATGTGTATATGAAAAGGAGATCCATGAAATGATATACACCAAAAAGGTAACTTGATTACTTTAGTGTTGCAGGATTCTGAGGGAACTTGCTTCTCTTTATATTTTCATGTATGTTCAAAATCTATACACTGAGCACATACTATTCATATCATTAAAACAAACTCAAGAGAACCATATTTTCATTATCAAAAAAAGAAAAAGTCCAAATTATTTATGAGTTGTAACTTAGTAAGAACAGTAACCAGATAGCCAAAGACCTGCATTCTAGCCTGAATTCTGGTTTTGCTAATGACTACAGGCAATCTCTTAACATTTTTGGGCCTCCATTTATTCAGCTCAAAGTAATGCTTCCTTTGTCTGAAAGATGACTAGGATTAAGTGTGAGAATGGGTCACTGATAATGCTCTGAAAACTAAAAATTGTATCAAGACCAGAGAGATGATAAGCATGCTGTTTCTTAGACACCAAAACAGACCTTACCAAAGCAGAAACTGACCAAGGACCAAATAACCCTCCTTCTCCAAACATTGGCTCAAAGAAGGGTACAGCGATCAGCAACATGGCAGAAGACATGGGCGCCTGGTAATACAGCAGCTGCATGGAATTGACTTGCAATTCATGCTGTTTGGCTCCTACCCACTGAAAATTAGGAGATTAAAGACAAGTTAGACAGCAAAAATATACAATCACTCCATAAATGACAGGGTGCAACCTTAACCTCAAAGATGGAAATGTAGGGCATGGAACTGTCTATTCTATAAGACTTCAAAGATCAGTAATACAGATGAATATCCTTTTTAAAAAAAAAAAATTATTTATGCATACAGAACTGGGGTACCGGGCAGAGGTGCAGGGGTGGTGAGAGGATTCACCATAGACAGAGTGGGGAGCAGAACAGGCTGACTGATGAAGTATATTGCTGACGGGAGCGGCGGGCAGGTCAGGAGAGGTCTGCCTTTCCATGTGGGTCACCTCCAGGGTGGGGATCGAACTCATGCTGAAGTGGCTCTAGCTTCTTAGTGCTGTGCTTTAACCTGCTGCGCCACCAGGGAGGGCCCAGATGAATATCCTTTAAGTAACCTGGTTGATTGAAAATTTTATAAATTCAACTTCTGCTCCTCTATTTTCTTTTCAATTATAAAGAAGGAGGGGAAAACACTCTTTGCTCCCAGGCTCAGTAAATGGTGAAAAGTCAGTACTTACAGGGGTCGACAAGCACCAGGAAGCTGGGTGAGAGAGGCAGAAATGGACATGTAGGTAATAAGAAAGGATATATGAAGTGACAGGCTTCATTTCTAGAAATGACATCAGAATGAGAAGACTGAGCCCACAGGGCAGGCTAGTTAGAGACTGACAGCCTCTCTGCCCTCCCAAGCACTTGCCAGCACGTGCGACTTAAAGGGACAGGAAATCTTTCCATTCGCTTCAGAGACCCCAATCAATAGTAGAAGGACTTTTCCTCTTCAAGCATGACTTTTCTGTGGGTAATCCCCAAACACACCTCAATAAATTAGATAATCACAAACCGTAAAAGACCCTCTCCCTCAGTAAAACCAATGCCTCAAATCTCATTAGTCCTGAAAATATATCGGAAACATGACTGAAAAGGAAGCTGTAAAGAAAATCTGAGAGGGCTGTTGGACTATGATCTGGAAGGACAACAGACTTTTGAGTAACTGTTTCTACATAGTTCTTTTTTCCTCTAGGTCTGGGTATCCTGTTACATAAATTCTAAGTCTACAAAAATTCACCAAGACAAAAATAGAAGTGCAGGAAATCTGAAACATATTGCTGCCAGCATTCAGGAATCTAAGAATCTCCTGTGAATATGAAGAACAAAGAATTGATTCTTCTGCTGCCCGCTGCTAGGGGCACACAGCGTGTGTGCAGTGCATGCCTGCCATTCCAGCCCACCGCTTAAGTGGCCTGTTTGCACAGAACTGCCCGGAATGGTGGTGATTCCTTGGAGCTCCATATTCCCTGACTGGGGTGCAGTGTGACTTCTGCCTACCACCTCTTTCCTGAAACTGCTTTTGCAGAGGGCGCCATGGCTCCAATGACCTTATAGCCCTCTTCCTGCTGCAGTTCTTGACAGGATCTGCCAATTTCTCTTCGAAGAACCTGACTTCTGGTGTGCTGTGCTTCCTCACCATTTTCTTCCCTTGATGTTTTTAAGGTAGATGTCTGGCCTTCTTTCATTTCCCAGTAGCAAATAGTATTCAATCTACAACTCGAGTTCCTTACAGTGACATCTTCAACAGCTTACTGGCCATCTTAAGTTAGATGACCCACAGAAAGTTGTTTAATATCAACATCATTACTTTCTTCCCCAAGTTAGCTCCCACTGTGTTACTCCAACAACTAAGGATATCATCTCCTTCAAGGAGCAGACTCTTTACTTTCTTCATGCATGTTCAATCAGGTCTCTGGAGACTATTTTTTCCTTTCCATGTCAATTGCCAATTGTCAATTCTTTTTGTCTTCCCTTTGAGCAATGAAGTTTCCTAGGGCTCAGCCTGTCACTCTTTCTTCCCTCTCTGAGTCACCCGTCATTGCCACCAGAGTTAAGTTTCTAGAACATGAGCACACTTCCTTTCCATGACATTTAAGACTCTGTGCCATCTGTTTGCACCCACTCCTCAGTCTGTCTTTCCATAGCCTCACCCAACAAATCAAGTTCTCCAAAAGTACTTTCACACATCATTGGAAAGAAAGACCTCTGCTCTATTTCCTTGCTAAGTAATTTGTTGTGTATTCTTAAATTTCAATTACCTTTTCTATGAAGTCTCACCTCACCAACCTCTTAGAGAACTGCCCTCTCTCCCTGGTGTTCCTCAGAACATCCCTCTTACTCTGGGCTATGCTACTATGATTGGTTCTCTACATGTTTGTATAATGTAGCTGCTTTTCCTCCTTTTACCTGTTGAAATCTGCTGAAGGAATGAATTGATCATCTTTCTACAACTTAAGCTAACAGCTGACCACTCATATTTTAGCTCCTTTTAACGCTCCATCAGTATAAGTAGAAATAGTTTAGAAATTACACAAAGATACAGTGGGAAAACATAACTTCAAATGTAATTTTTTGGTAATATACTAATTTTGTCATAGTATTTTTACTATTTAATAGCAATACAAAACCCTATCCATTACTTAGTTTATAATTATTCCTTGGTCAACTCATTTCATTTCAGTTATTTACCTGAGGTATATAGAATCTTTGATTCAAATCTATAGCAACTTCAAGACTTGTGTGAACAAAAACAGTTATACTGGCATGGGCAGTAAATACCATGGATTGAAATTAAAGGAATACAATAAACAAATAAAATTTCTTGTCATATTTAACACATACTAGCTAAAAAGTTAATTTAACAAAATTTAAATTCACTGAATTACAACCAAATATGATTATTATTTAAAGAACAAGGCTGAGTTTCTCTGTAGTAAAAGAATATTTTAGAGTTAAAAGACAAGATGTGGGGGTGCTTTATTTATTTTTTCATGCCACTGGTCCCCTCTAAACGGTTTCCCTGGCACTAAAAAATATACTTAACCTCTGAATCTTTATGTTTTAGAAATGATCAGTACCAAAAAGGTTAGGCTGCTATGGTGGTATTACTGAATTCCTAGCTTTCATAACAAAAATGCCTTTGTTTTTAACTAACGGATGTTTGTGAAAAAAGTAAAACTGGCTACACATTTTGGTACTGGTTCCCCATGCAGGCACACCCAGAATTTCCAGTCCAAGGTTTTCAGTATAGAGAAAATACTGTTTCACTGCACCTAACACCAAGTTATTTTTTCCCCACTCTATAAAAAATGAAAAACATACTTATTGAGATTTTATGGTAATGAAGTAAATCCATGAACAATTTAATGAATGCCTTTTACAGGCAAAGCACTGTGCTAACACAAGTGAAATACCCATTGCTATAAAGTTCTCCATTAACATAGACAAATTATTAGAAGCCAATATTCAAGTTGTAACAACAGCATTATCTTATGAAGCAAAGATTTATAAATCAGAAATTTTCCTTTCTCATTAAAATTTTTGGATGTGTACTCATGCCTTCACAATGTTATAATTAAAGAGCAAATGTTCAATATAACCGATGAGCTCAGTTTTCAAGAACCTTACTACACATTTTGAAAAGATTTCCCAGAAGTAATATAATGTTACCCCAAATTCAAACTGTTAAGCATGGGTATTATGCACTTACAAACAGGTGGGTAGGTATTTGGTGAACATCATACACCCAAGTTTCTCTTTTTCGCCTTTCTTTTCTTCACCTTGAGTCAGACAATTTATGCAATTATGCTTTCTTCCCAACAGTCTATTGTCTCTATACTGTATTTTCTAAACCTTGGGATACAGCTTCAAAATTTATGAAATCTGCTAAAAAGGAACATAAAGAATAAAAAAATTACCAACCACTTGATAAAGAGATGTAACTAAAACACCAAGAGCAGCAAACACCATTCCAAGGAAATTAAACTTCACATCGTAATAAGAATTTAGGATTACACCTAAAGTAATAGGAATCTGTAAAGAAAAAGAGGTAAATGTTGTTCAGGTTAAAGTCATAAATCATAAACTTAGTATTCCTTTCCGTGTCTTAGAAAATGAATCATAAAAATATCACTGGGAAACAATGAACCTTGATAGTCTTTTTTTTTTCCATTTGAAAAAAGTGACTACTAATCCTGTTTCCTCAAAGTGAAATGTGAGTTTCTATATTTGCATTCCCATTTAATTCTACTGAAAGCGATGAGTTCGCTATTGCACTTTGCAAGAAAGGACTTCCATATGCATGCAGATACAAGAACATGGCCAGCAAACTAGTGGATAAGCATACCAACATAAACATGTACCAAAACCATTAGGATTTTAAATACTGTAAATTACAAGTTCCAAAATTGAGTGGGAACCTCCATTCACTTAAAGACAGACACCTCTGCAAAATACCGCTGCAAACATCAAGGACCTGTATTTTATGGTAAAATTTTAACGTTTACATCCATGTTCTAATTCCCCTGTGAGAGGAGACCTGTTTTTCAACTTCAGCTTTTGCAGATATTCTGATACAATGAATTGCCTCCATACTGCTTTCTTTTCTTACCGACCACATTTACGGATTTTCACCAAACGGTAATGATTAAATTGCATAAGGCACATTCTTCCAGGCTAAGAGCTCAACAGAGTGACAAGATAGATTTTTTTTCCATCTTCCCCAAATAAGCAGTTTCACGTGCTCACAGATGACTCATGTGTGGATTTCGAGATGATGGAAAAAAGCTTGGCGCAAGGTTAAATATTCAAATTTCCCGGGAAGAAAGCCGGTCCAGAAGTTGAGTTGTTAGAGGTTCACCTAGCGAAGCTGGAGCTACTCACCAGCGTGAGTTGTATTTTGGTGGAGAAGGTTTTCTTGTAACAGAGCGTCTGGATGACTATGATCACCGGCGTGGTCATGGCCTTGGCCAGCTGATAGGTGCCTATGGTGTTGTTCTGCAGGGAGAGGTTGGTGAAGACCACGAAGCCACAGAAGCTGAGAGCCAGGAGGAGGAGTCTGGAAGGCGGCAGACTTTTGGGGGCAAATATGTCCAGTTTCTGGCAGATAAACAAGCCTAGCCAGGTGACCACGAAGTGCACCAGCGTGAGGCTCATGTTGGGGAAGCCGTGGTGCACATAGATCCATTTGTTGAGAAACACGATGCAGATGGACACCAGCAGGTTGAGCAGGAGCCCGGCGGCGATGCGCCCATTGCCCCGCACTCGGTCAGCCAGCGATGCCATACTCCTCGCGGCCGGGACGTCCCCCCTCCCCCCGAAATCTGGGCCCTCCAAACCCTCAGGGCAGCCCCTTCTCCTCTGCTGCAATCCTTCAGCCGCGGACTTCACCGTCCCGCCCGAGAGAGGCAGGCACCCTTCAGCTCCCAGGCAAGCGGCAACCTCTGTGGCTCACACATGCTCCGCCACCACCCACCCACTCAGCAGGCGGACGCGGTGGCACGTCCCGCACGCCCCGCCCCCCTCCGCCCCGGCCACGTGACCCAGGAGCCAGCGCTTCCGCCCACACCGCGCAGGCGCGAGAGTCTGGGTGTGGCGGGCTGCGTCTTTGGTTTCTGGTCTCCTCTGCCGTCTGTTCCGGACCTAGACTGGCCTCACAGGGGATCCCTCTCCCGAAGTTTGAACTGTCCTGTTTGTCCGCTGACTGGACTTGTTAGATCGCTGCCTCTCACGCTTGTGGAGTGCAGACAGGTTTGGCGCGTTTTTCGTAGGAGACAGGTGCTGAGTATTTAGCCCTTGCTAGAGAGGGAAAGATATATTCTTGACAGCGTATTTTTAAGCATTTCTAAACACATAGAAGAATAGACAGTGTGATGAACCTATTGTATTCATCATGGCTACCAAATTGTTAAGAATCTTTAAAAAAAAATCAGCATTTGGCCTTATATTATTCTAGAAAAGTGTGCATTTTACGTAAATGTCCTAATAGAGATGGTTACGGTTGCATTCTTTATTGCTATTTCGCCTGTTGTTACATCACCTTTGCTTTTTCTAAGCAATATGCAGGTGAGTTTTGTCTTTGATTAGAATTGCTCATAATTTGTTTGTTGGCCTTTTCAAAGATTGCTTCAACTGATGTGTTTCGTTTTTTCATCTGTCACCTTATTTTTTGATTGGATAATGATCAGCTCATTTATCTTTATTTAAAAATAGAAAGGGGGGCCCTCCCTGGTGGCGCAACGGGTTAAAGCACTGCATTAAGAAGCTAAAGCCACTTCCGCATGAGTTCGATCCCAGCCTGCCCCGGAGGAGACCACATGGCGCGGCAGACCTCTCCTGACCCGCCCGCTGCTCCCCTCAGCAGTGTACTTTGTTGATCTGCCTGTTC